GGAAATAGTTTTTTTTAAGACAGAGTTGTCAAATGCAAAAAATCTCTTTATAGAACATACCATCTGGTGCCATATTTCATCTCATACATGCCCTTCTGCCTCAACAATGGTCTATAGTAGCACATTGAGAAGCTCAAACCTTTAGGTTTGGGGAAAACTTTGTCATAGTACAGTACCCAGTACACAAGCAACCTGTCAGTTCTATAACTGCCAAACAAACTCTTCCAACCGTGCCAACAGTTTTCAGTTTGCATACAGGGTTTGGCAAAATCCTTTTTTCTTCAACTGTAATTGGCTCCACATTAGAAGTCTATACAGAGCAGGAGTTCAGATTTCAGACAGCCCATCGCAGAAAACGTGACATGCTTGGTAAACACTGGAACTGATTACTAACCCATATAAACAGAACCTCCCACTTAGGTCTCATTTTGAAAAATGTTCAGAAAATACAGAATGTCATAGTGCAGGATGTCCCTAAAGTCTGGACACATAGGAAATATTGCTATATGTGTATATATACAGTATGTGTATAATATATCACTATATAAGCTCACCAGACCTTAAACCCCCTTGACTTTTTTGGGGGTATGCTAAAGGAGAAGGTGTGCTCAATGAAAATAACAGATATGAATCACCTAAAAGAACACATCATGAACAAATGTGCTCAAATTGACAGAAATGTGGAGTTACTGCATTGAGTTCGTGTGAATCTTGCTAAGTGCATGAAAGTTTGCATCACAAATGGCGAAAATCAAATTGATGATGCTATTGATTAATAATCCAATGAAATAAGATGTTGGTGAAAAATTTCTTGAAATTTCTTGAAAATATGCATTTTTGCCTATATGTCCTGACTTTAGGGACACCCTGTATATTATCTACAGGAGAAAAAGTGGGTTAGAATCTGTAATAGATTTTTCTAAAAATTCTTGCAATATACAGTACAGATGACCACAAGGTTTGTGTTTTTTTAACAAAATGTTTACTTATATACAACTGACTATTAAACTGTGACTAAAATGATCAAAATATTTTAAATGAAAATGAATACGGCCTTAGTTTGCATTTATTCTTCAGGTGTTATGGTTTGGTACAGCCTGTAAAGGAAATTTGTCAATTCTGTATAAAATTGTATTCTATTTTATATGCTTTGTCTATGTATTGTACACTGCACTCCTTGTGCACACGGCACTAATAATGTTTTTATTATATTACAGGTACTTGTATAGAGCTGTCAATTTTCGCAGCACTTTACATATATATTGTACATTCATATCAGTCCCTAATCCTCAAGGGGCGTACAATCTAAGGTCCCTAACTTACATTCATACATACACATACTAGGGCCAATTTAGACAGGATCCAATTAACCTACCAGCATGTCTTTGGAATGTGGGAGGAAACTGGAGTAAACTCATGCAGGCACAGAGAGAACATGCAAACTCCAGGCAAGTGTTGCTGTGGATGGAATTCGAGCCAACGACCCTAAACATTTAGCCACTGTGCTGTCCACATTTGCATTCCTTCAAGTTCTGATTAGAAATTAGCCTGTCTATGTAACGCCCCTTGTTACCATAAAAGTACAATTGTAATATTAATGTGTTACCTACATAATCTTGTGAATAAAAAACTTCAAACGCGCCGAATAAACAGAACAGTGATTTGGAAAGATGCTGATTGTATCTTCTTTTGTCTGTTCCCTACTGCAGTAGTTATTAGTTACATAGTTACATAGTTAGTCTGACTGAAAAAAGACTAAAGTCCATCCAGTTCAACCATTAAAAAAAAAAAAAAAAAGTTATAATCCTACACCCACAGTTGATCCAGAGGAAGGCAAAAAAACCCCCAGCAAAGCATGATCCAATTTGCTCCTGCAGGGAGTCAATTGGATATTCCCTGGATCAACTTTACCTATAAATGTTAGTATCCAGTTACATTCTGTGTATCTAAGAAATAATCCAGGCCTTTTTTAAAGCAATCCACTGAGCTGGCCAGAAGCAAACTCTTGAGGGAGTCTATGCCACATTTTCACAGCTCTCACTGTGAAGAAACCTTTCCGTGTTTGGAGATTAATTTTCTTTTCCTACAGACGTAAAGAGTGCCCCCTTGTCCTCTGTGATAACCTCAGGGGGAATACTGTAACTGTACACTGAGTTCACTATATGAACCACTGATGTATTTATACATTTTGATCATATCCCCCCTTAATCTCTTCTTCTCAAGAGAAAATAAATTCAGTTCCTCTAATCTTTCCTCATAGCTGAGCTCCTCCATGCCTCTTATCAGTTTGGTTGCCCTTCTCTGTACTTTCTCCAGTTCCCCAATGTCCTTTTTGTGAATTGGTGCCCAAAACTGAACTGCATATTCCAGATGAGGTATTACTAATGATTTGTAGCGGGGTCTATACCTCTTTTAATACAAGAGAGGATTTTGCTCACTTTAGAAACCGCAGCTTGGCATTGCATGCCATTATTAAGCTTGTGATCTACCAGAACCCCCAGATCCTTCTCCACCTTTGATTACCCCAGTTGTACTCCCCCTAGTATGTATGATGCATGCATGCATTAGTTTGGAACCACTAATCAATATGAGGATAGGAGTTGCCTATCTATAAAGTTTGCAGTATTAATGTCCAGAACAAGCCTGCAACGGGTTAGGGGAATGCAGATATTCACAATATCTTGATAATTATTTGTGGCTTATTTCTTCCTCTACAGACCACTAATTAGTAGACTGTATAATCTATTTAGATGGCACCAATAGTATATCGAGGATGCTAACTATTTTTTTTTCATACAAAGAGCAAGAAGTGCAAACCTTGACACTACCTAGTATCAGAATCTGCAGACCAGAATTAGATCTTCAGGTAGTGGTAGGGATTTGATAGCAACTGAAAGTATTTGCAGTTTATATACAAGAACAACTTTTATTAAAAAAAAAAAACTTGAAACACGCTCTCATTCATCTCTGTTTCTAGAACTATTGTGGAGCAATTCATTTTCAAAATTATCTACTGGGGTAGATGGTTCTTTCCATAAGAAAAGAATCTTGGAAGCCTGCCAGTCTTTCCAATGTAAGCAACCAGCAGATGCTTCTAAGCTGTTAGAAACAGACTGAAATCAGACTCTGGAGAAGTGGTGGTCAACTTGCTTGATACAGGAGGCCTAAGTACAGCTTCTGACATCAAAGGCCACACATAATATTCAGTGAAGGCGGTGCTATAGGAAGCTGTCAAAAACTGACACACAACACAAGCTGGTCAGAGCCTACGAGCAATAGGTGGCCAAAGATATGCTACAGGACATGACTAGAGACTGGAGATAGTCATTGACTGAAGACATGTTGCATGGGACCATTATTGATCACAGTTATTACAGCCTCAACATTTCCATATTTGTGCTCCATGCATCTTCTGCGTTTGTGCTCCCTACAGCCCCCTTAAAATTACGTCTGCCACATTTGATAATCCTTTCAATAAGATTCATTATACAAGATCAGAAGAAAAAATACATACAATAGTAAAAACGAATGGACAGCACAGAAAAAGTAAGATACCGTGAAAAAAATAAACCAAACCATTTAACTACCAGAAACCAGTCTTGAAGTAGTACTATAAGTAAGGGAGGGTTATAACCCTTGTCAGATTTTTTTTTCACCATCGTGTCACATTTTGGAGATTTCCCTTCACTTCTGGTCACATAGCCAAAGAGAAAGTGAGAGGAAATCCATGCAAACTACGGGAATCCCTTGGGGACCCCCAAATCACCAGAACTAGTGTCCCCATTGGAACGTTTCCCCCTTTATTACTTTTCTGGGGAGAACCCAAAATGTGGGATTTTTTTTTTGCTTTCATTTGAAGCAATGATAAACAGGACAAATAGAGAGGGTGAATCTCCCTAATGGAGGCACAGACAGCAATGAAAACCTGACAAGTGTTCTAATCCCTCTCCACTTTATCTAAATTAGAGAAGTTTTGCTTTTAGTTATACTTTAAGAATATTTTCCTTTGCTGTAATAAATAAGCCCCAAAACACAGATAACTCTACAGAGACCCAAGGGCCACACAAAAAAAAATGCCAAAGTACCTCATGTGCCCCCCATGTCATTGGTTGAGCACCAGAGCTTTAGATTTGTGTCTTTGTTGTGACCTTTAAGGATCTTTGAGAATTAATAACCTCACTTTAACACAGCTTAGGCCTCATGTACACTGCTGCTCCTAAACATGAGTATAGGAACTTGTGGAGTTTTTTTTGCCAAAGCCCCTAAACTCAACTCAATAAAAGCCTATGTTTCCATGCACATATTGGCTTTTATCAGAGTTTAGCAGAAGCAGAGTTTAGGGGCAGTTAAACATCCCTCTCCTAAACACAGAAGAACCACATTCAGGAAAAGAACATTCTGGTCAAACAACACAAATTGCTGCAAAATGTGTAAACGTGTATTAACGCGCCTAAGCACTAGCCACATTTAGCACTTGGGTGCTTATTCATTTCAATGGCAAGTACTCTGACCAATGAAAAGAATAAACGCCCAAGCACTAAACACGGCTAAATGTGGGTAAACATGGCTAAGCGCAGCACTGTGTTTACATGCTTTTTTGCTGCATTTAGCGTTTTTTCAGCAGCTAGGAGAACTTGGCGTCCAAGGAAGTTTAAGTAGACATGTAGCCTAAATAAATCAGGGATAACTTGTTTTAAAGGTTTTCTTTAATGATTTTTAAGAGTATGAAAATATTTTAATGCCAATAGTCTGGGCACAAGTTCACTTTAACCGCTTTTGTGATGCCTTCTGGCAGAAATACTGCAACGGGGTGGCTGGTTGCACAAAATCATGTATATTTATGTGATTTTGCAGTTCCGGGTACGGGGCATGCGCCAATCGTGGCCTCGACTCTCAATCACTGGGTCCCAGCCGGTGTTTCCCTGCCAGCACCCTGCGATCTCCAAGGATTTCCAATAATGGAGAGACCTGTATGTAAACAATACAGATCCCTGCCCTGCCAGCTCCTGCACACAGCTTTGTATGGCTCTGCTATGCAGAGCCATACAAAGCAGTGTGCTTACAGTGAAACACACACGGCCCACATATCAAAAACAGCACTCAGTTAACCCTTTGCTTGCCCCACATGTTAACCCCTTCCTGCCCAGTGCCATTAGTACAGTGTCAGTGCCTTTAACCTCCCTAACGGTATTCCCGAGTGTAGCTCGGGGTAAAATGTCTGTACCAAAAGCGGTAACCCCGAGCTACACTCGGGCTTACCATGCAGCGCTGTATAGGGAGTCCCTGCAGCACTTACCTTGTCCTTCGCTCCAGTGATGTGTCCCCTGCAGCGTCCCCGGCCATCTCCTCCGGCTCCTGTGTTCCGGTCCCTGTGACGTCGGGACGTACGGGCGCCGCCGGCAGCGGGAAATTTGAAAATTTAAAAAAAATTTCATTTTTTTTCAAAATGATTTTACATAGTAAAACATTGCTGTGTCAACCCATTTCACATACCGTACATTTTGTCCCTAGTGCTCTGTCCTGTCTCCTGTCTGCATTTTGAATGTTCTTTCTGCCTGGAAACTTAGAAAAGTCCACGGCGTCCAAAAAGCGTCCTTTTAGGTCAAAAGCGGGTTTAGATCAGCTAGAGAACAGCGATAGTAAATCAGAACCACTTGCAGAATTGAGTGATAATGATTCGTGGGGAAATTCGTCATCAGACACTGAAAATGATTTTGCGACTTTGCTCAGCGATGTGCGAACTTGGCGCTATATTTCAAATTTCAGTGTTTTTGGTTTGATTATATTATTGAATTAAATGTAATATTATTATATTATTATTTTTTATGATTATTTATTAAATTATAATTTATGATTTTGTGTTTCAAATTTTATCATACCCGGGATGTTTAATAGACTCTTGTTCGGACAGATTTCAGTGAGTTATTCCTAAATATTACAGCCTACAATAAAAAAAACTACATATTTCCATGCAGAATAATGGTACCGCTTTCAGCACCAAAAATCTGAAATAATCATACTGCTAGGGAGGTTAATTAGCACTGATCACTGTATTGGTGTCATTGGGGATGTCAGTGACACCAAGTCAGTTCCCCCCAGTGTCAGAATGCCCGCCACAGTCCCGCTATAAATCACTGATTGCCGCCATTACTAGTAAAAAAAAAAATTCCAGTATATATACTGCCATTTGTAAACACTATAACTTTCACGTAAACCAATTAATTTACACGTATTGGGATTTTTTTTTTAACAAAGACATGTAGCAGAATACATTTTGGACTAAATTTATGATGAAATTAGAATTTTAAAATTTTTTTGCTGGACATGTTTAATAGCAAAAAATCAAAAATATAATTTTTTTTTTAAAATTGTCTGGTTTTTTTTCTGTTTATAGCTAAAAATCTAAAAACATGTACAGGCGATCAAATACCACTGAAAAATAGCTCTATTTATGAGAAAAAAAAGGACGTAAATTTCATTGGGGTGCAGCATTACATGAACACGCAATTGTCAGTTAAAGTAACGCAGCGCCGTACCGCAAAAAATGGCAGGAAGGGGGGTAAATCCTCTGGAGGGCAAGTGGTTAAGCAAGGGTTAATGTATTTTTTTGTATACCAACTTTGTCAGACCTCATTCTGAATTTAATAGTTGTATTTTATTTCTTTCTAAAGTTTTCATTTACTGACAAAAAATCATGATAATCAGGAGAAAAGTGTCAACACTCCCATATGATTACATGGGAGATTGGCTTCTCCAGGTCACCAAGGCCATTTAAATATCTACAAACTACAAATACAATTAGGCATGTATATATCTGATATATTGCTCTGTTAATTATCAATGGCTCTTTCTCTGAATGTACATGATTATCTGAGTGAAAAGGTCACGGTCAACACTTTGAAGTTCTTACAGTCATATTAAAAACCATTTATTGAATCTAATATAAGGCTATTGTAAGACTTGTTAGCCAGGAAGTCAATTCTAATGTTATTTTCTAAATAACATTTTAGAAATAAGACAAATTTCCTATCATAATTCATGGATAAATACAGAATTTAGGATCCCCAGAAAAGGTTCAGACCACCCAGAAAGGGATTACAATTTTAACTGGAATCCGGATGGCTAAGTCACTCACCCCCCATAGTTCTTGATTCCATCCACCTTGGAGTTAGGGGTCCTCAAAACCTTATTAGGTAAACACTACGTACACAAAATATCCCTCTAATACAGTTGCTTTTTTCTTTAATGTCTTCAGATTGTCCCCATGCCTATCAATGAAAGAAATGCTACTTCTCAGTAGGGATTCTGTCTTCTCTTCTGTCTTTTATTTAACCATATACAGTTTCCCTCATCTTCAATTTTCCGATTTTACTGTGTGAAAGTACATCTAATTTTTTCATTCTATGGCTTGTTTTCAACTGTCATTGCTCCAAGTCAAACCTTTTAATGACCACAGCATTTTGTTGCTATTCAGCACTGTGCTACTTAAACTGGTAATTGCTCGGTCACTGTACCCAAATTAAATGTATATCTTTTTTTTGGTGATATTTTATCACCATTTTTTTGCTATAAAAAAATCCCAAAAATTGTGAGAAAAAAATCCACATTTTTATATTTTCAAAATGTTTCTGTATTAATATTTTGCAAATAAATAATCTTTTTTTTTGTAAATGTAGGCTAAATGTATTTTACTATATTTGTTTGGTAATAATAACCCAAATTAGTGCATATTATTTAGTGTGTGTGAAAGTTATAGTCTACAAACTATGGTATATACAGTATATTTGAAAATTGATCAATCCTGATGTACTGACAGCCTCATCTCATTTCTTGAGGCCCTTAAAATGCCAGGACAGTACAAATACCCCGCAAATGCCCCTTTTTGGAATATAGGTAGTCCAAGGTATTTAGTAAGAGGCATGGCGAGTTTTTTTGAACTTGTAATTTGTTTGTCATTATTTTGGAAAATGAAGAAAAAAATAAAATAACCATGTGATTGCTATGGGCCAATCACAGCATCACAACAGTAAGTAAAACAGTAATGAATGAAAGCCATTCATGACAATTTTTTTTACATTGTAATCATGTGATTGACCAAACATAGTGGTCATATGATACCACAACTGTTCACAGCAGCTAGGTACCGAGCACCGTGATCTGCTCTGTCCACCCAGTAAATGTACCGTGGGCAGGGGGCAAGTGGTTTAAAGAACTGATCGCTGAACAGATATTAAAAAAACATTTTTTGCATTGGTACATAAAATCTCTGGCAGTGCTCTGTTCCCATGCCCTTTGTTTGAAAACCCATTACCTATAAGCATAGCAAATGGCTTTGTTTACAAAGGGAATTAAATATCATTTAAAGGCATGTGGTATTTCTTTTTCTTTATAAATTTCCTTTTGGCTTTTGTATATTGTACAGGTGCGAGACTTCACAGGAAGGTTTAAGGCATCCCCAAAAAATGTTATTTAAAGAAATTGTGCATTTTTACTGGTTCACTTTAAGCCCTATTGAAGGAGCTGCCAAACATATTTTACATTTTTACATGAACATGTACAATTGTTTTAGGACTCAACTTCAATTGAGTTTGCATTAAAATTTGCAGTCTGCAGAATTTTGTCTGTTCCCAAACAGATACACCCGTCACTATTTGTTTTGTTGGGGTTTTATTTCTGTCTATGTCCCATTGGGGAGTATTTACTCCACTTCCTTTACTAGAGTTGTCACTCACATTGGAAGAGTTCCCTGAATCTACTGTTCTGGTGATACCTGTAAAATATGCCTGAACATCCAATCAGATTTGTCCGGATCCTACATTAACCTTAAATACTAGGGAACTCTCACATTTAGACTGAGTTTGTGAGTTCATCAACTCTGCCTTCTGATCCTTGTTATTAGCCCCTCACTGTCACTACCCAATAGGAGCGAGCAGCATGTGAGATCATCTTCAAAGCTCCTAGGGCTCTAAGCAGATAATCTGACTGGATGTTGAGGGACCTGATATGTCTTCACCAGTTTCTCACAATTTATAAAGCCATGGGTTTGCTTTAAACTGAGTATTCAATCAAACCTTCTGCATTTGGTATTCTGCTCCTGCAAAGACCTGCCCTAAAAATTCTATGAAATTGGTGAAGGCACTCTAGAAGTCTTGACTAGTTTCATAGATTTTTATATAGCTACAGTATGTGTTCTTGCTTAAATACAGTATTCAAATCACTTTTAAACTCAGTATTTGAACCATCTACATTTGGTTCTTGCCAAGACCCGCTTTAGCAAATCTGTGAAACTGTTGGTATCAGAGATGTCTTCACCAGTTAGATTTTATATAACTATGGGTTTTTGTTCATTCAAACCATCTTCTTTTTGTATTGTCTTCAGCAGTTTCTTTATTTTTGTGGTATAGGATTGCTGAACCTTGTGGTGAGTTTTTATAAACCTATGTCTGGCATATGGTCCCGGAGGCTACTCACTAACAACCTTGGTGTCCTTCTGGACTGTCAGAGGAGTTTGGTAAAAATGTAATGATAAGATGGAAGTGCCACACTAGTTCATACAGTCTAGGGATGCACCCATACCATTTTTTAACACACCGAGTATGAGTACCAATACCTTTTATAAAGTACTCACCGATACCAATTACCGATACCTATCACCCATGAAGAATAGGTAGAAGGGTGGTTTGGGAGGTGGGGAGTGGAGTTAGGGAGTTGGAGTGTTTCTGCGATACAGGAAACCATGCGATTTTGTACATGTTATTGCACTGCATTTGGTGTGAACAAGCCCTAAAATTTACACTCTCTCTCTCCCCCAAATCCCCCCTCTTAGCACAAATCCTCCCATCCCCCCCCCAGCACAACCCCTCTAAATCCCAACATCTAGCACAATCCCCCCCACCCAAATCACCCCCCCAGCACAAACCCCCCAAATCACCCCTTCTAGCACAACCCCTTAAATCCCCCCTCCTAGCCCAACCCCCCTCTTAGCACAACCCTCCTAAAATCCCCCTCCTAGCACAACCTCCCTGCCCTAGCACAACCCCCCTAAATCCCTCCTTCTAGCACAACCCCCCAAATCCCCCCTAGCACAACCTCCCCCTCTTAGCACAGCCCTCTTAAATCCCTACTCCTAGCACACACACCCCAAATCCTCCACCTAGCACAACCCCCCCCCCCCATTTTCTTCTATGTTTGCGTGCTCTAGCACAAATTCTGTCCCTATAGTAGTAACAGCAGCAGGGAGGGGGAGAGAGCCAGGAGGGGGTATGGGTTGTGCTCTCTCTCCCCCCGGCTACTCTGAGCAATCTTTGATCCTGTTAGCTCCTGTGCTATGTGAGGCAGAGAGCACTGTAATGTCTTGCAGAGATGTACAGAGTTCAGTCCACACCTCTCCTGCTGTTTGCTCCTCTCTGTAATCTTACCCACAAAACAGAAAGCTGAGCTGGCTGCCCAACCGCATCCTACCAACAGAGGACTTGCCGACAAGAGCACAGAAAGGGGCAGAGAGTGGAGGAAGTACAGGAGGTGCATACACAGGACTTTATAGTGCTCTCTGCCTCACATATGACAAGAGCTAACTGAGGATCGAGGATAACTATTGCCCACATTCTTTTTTTTTTACATTTTAGCTGCCAGCAGGGAAATCTCATTGTGAGCTGAAATGTCATTGGTTGTTGAGGCCCCCTCCTTACCAGCTCATAATTGCCTGCATTCTATTTGTTTACATTTCTTAAAGAACCAAACCTGACGGTATTGGTTTTTAGTATTGGAGCATTTGCACGAGTACTGATACTCGTGCAAATGCTTAGTATCGGCACTGACACCGGTATTGGTGCAACCCTAATACAGTCCATAAAAGATTTAATTTGGCAGCAAATTCCAATGGATTTCAGGGGCTCAAACACCCCCCCCCCTTCCTCATCAGGGTTTGTAGAACAATAACCATAGGGTGAGGGATACTGTCCTGGACTGTAAGATGGAACTCAAGTAGGTGTATGCACATCATGTAGGTGCTTGTTCACAGATTTACCAGTTTCATGAATTATATTCGGCCATGGGTTTGCTTCAATCAAACCATCTGTATTTTGCAGTCTGTTCTTGCAAAGACCTGCCTTAGCAAATCTATGAAACTGTTGAAGGCACTTGAGATGTCTTCAACAGTGTTGTGGACTTAATATAGCCAGGGGTTTGATCTTCACCAGTTTCATAGACTTTAGATAGCTAGGGG